ACTGTAGTGAGAGAGAACTATCACGGCAGAATGGTCTGGCAGAGGAAACAGCTCGCTTCTTGGCAGCCAGGAAGCAGAAGGCACATGCCCCTAAGGGCTGAAGACAAAGATATAGTTCCAAAGGCACAACCCTAGGACCCAGATCCTACAGCTGGGCCTGAGGTCTTCACAACCTGTTCAGCTATAAGCTCCTCAGCTGAGGAGGTTTCCTCAGAACCCATGAGCTAGCAACCAAGCCTTCTACACAAGGAATACGGGGATATTTTAGAACCAAGGTAAAACAGCGTGTAAGTACAGGTGTCCCGGGCAACTTCCTCTTCATCCTTCCTCAGCCAAAGTCTGAAACTTCAAAGCTACCATTCTGAACCCTTAACTTTGACTCTGCTGTGCATGACAACAGTCCTATTAACTACCTGCTCAAACTTTCAGAGGATTATACAGTGTTCCTATCTTGTTTAAACCCTTTTATTTGGAAGATTTGTCACAACTCATGAATCTAAATAACACACTATTCAGAATACTTTAAACTCACTTTGAATTTCCTAAACTCATATAATTCTTTGGATTAAAGAGTTAGTATAGGATAATTTTACAGAGCTCTTAATATTCTTAAATTTTATCCAAAATATGCAAAATATTCCCTAAACATTCTCTAAAACTACAGAACTTCACAGGAAAAGGTTTACTTTCATCCAAACTATACTTTTTTATAATTTTACATTTGATAAGGTGAAGATACGTAACACAAAAAGAATAGAACTGATTTATATCCTTAGAGAATAGGAAATAGAGAACACAATAACCTGCTGTGTTCTAAAATAAGAACCAAAATAAGAAAAGGTATTCCAAACTATACATTCTTTCAACAGTCACCTGCTCTACAAAGCCTCTCCCTCCCTCTTCGCCACTCTATACAGAAACAAGAACAAAAAAGAAAAAGCTTTTAAGGTAATTTACTAGTCTCTGCATTTACTTTTTCACAGGATATATAATACTAACATTCACTTGATTCCCAATTGATGTCTTGGTACTAGATGGAAGGGGATCAGAGGTCAGATTCCTTGTTGTCTTTGTCTATTTTTAGGAACACAGCTGCTGGCAATAGCAAACCAGGAAAATGGAGTACAATGACTAAAACTTTCTCAGGGGCACTTTGCTAGTACTCATCAGAGCTGGGATTTAAACCCAGGCAGCATGTCTTCAGAATCAGTACTATTAAGTGCACAGCCCAGGAATCAGTCAGAAAACTCTGCCATTTGTCAAGATTACCATAATATAAATTCTTGCAAAGTAATAGGTTAGATTAAATCAATCTGCATTTCCCTTTCAACTCTAAGATCTCTAAATATATCCCCAAGGATCATTCCACACTGAAAGTAATAAATCTTTTAAACCACTACCACCTCTTGATGATTTTATTTGCCACTTACTGGATGCTTTCCAGCTCCAACACATTTTTCTTAATGCACAAGGGACAGACCTTTACACAGCTGTATTATGCAAGTGCAAGTACATAATTGTTTTGCACAAAGATAAAATAAGATTTCAAATTTACTATCATTCCCAGATAAAATCCAGCATTTATTACAGTATTACCTCTAACATCATAAAGTGTAGTTTAGAACACTGTGCAACCTATATATATATTCCTTTTTTTTTTTTTTAGCAAGTTTTGTTTAATTGTAAGTTGGGAAGAATTGACACCGCACAATACTAAGATTTTCACTCAGTAAGGACTGAATATTTCTCCATTTACTTAAATGTTTGTTTCCTGTTTTGTAGATTCCGGTTTATAGATATTATACTTACTTTGCCAGAATATATACTTGTTTAATTTTCCTTCTTCTATTATAAATGGGATTGCTTCAGTTTACTTTTTATTTTTATTTTATTTTATGCAAAATAAAAAATGTATTATGTTCACAACTTTCATACAATTGATGACACAGAGAAGAAAAGACTGTCCTACATGTCACATATACACACATCAAAAAGTCTCACTGAATTAAAAAACAAAATGAAGGATCAAGAACAGTGGTCTGAAACCTACTCATAGGATTTTAGGATTTAACAAATAACAGGAAGTGCTAAATTTCAGACCACAGCAGTGTTGACAACAAAAGAATGATAAATACAAGAGCACATATTTTCACATTAAAAACAGTAAAAGCTACATAACCAAAATCCAAGCCTAAACATTAATACAAAAAACAAAAAAAATTCAAAATCAAAATGCAGATCGGAAGCCCCAAATGAAGATCAATTAAATACCTATTTTAAAGAACTACCTATAACATAAAACAAAAAGTGATATTTATCAATAAGATTTCTTAGTTTTCTTATATACTTCTCTAGAATTAGAAGACAATTTATCATTTAACAATGGAAATGTGATTTAAATGGCTTTTTCTTTAAAATAATTCCATAATTTGAGAACAACACACACACGTTTATTTTATACACATATTCCAAAACTAAGATGTATAGTATAGAATACCTTTTCTTATTTTAGTACATGATTTCTCTAATTTCCCCACATTCAAATTGATAAGGACTTAGGCAGCATCTACACTGAACCTTGCAGAAAATTTATTTCTAAGTCAATAAGCCATAAAGCCAGGACAAAGCATTGCATATGATTCGTGAAAATTATTGTTCCTAAGGCACAAATCATAGAATTATTGAAATTACCAGCTTGACATAACTATGAAGATAAAACAATCAATTGACAGATGA